CTGCTGAAGAAATATGCCTTAGCTTTTCAGCTCTATTTTCTTTCTCTCCTGTGTGAAAAGATCAAAGACATACACATGAGATACATACTCTGAGATGAGAAAAACTCTTCTGGCCTTTTAAATGGGTACCTTAATCAATAATGACAGGAAAAAGGATGACTGGTTTCTATGCAGTATGCTACACTGGTATAGCCAAACAGATAGGATAAAGTATGTTTCAGTGCTCTCTTTCATCCCAAAACATATTCTGGTTGGGACAGACCAGCTTACATTAGCTTAGGGACTATCCACTCTATAACTGCTCACTGTGGAGAAATAAAAATTTTTCTTACTGTAAGTACTAATTTTCAAAAAAGAGACAGCTTATTTCTGGTATTTTGTGTGTTAGAAACAGCACATTCTTGTTACAGAATAACAAGCAAATGATCCAACAGAGTAAAAAGTTGTATCATCTTTGGCAGGCTTCTAAGCAAGGCTCTGAATTTAAGGAATAAACATCATGAAGTCAACAGCATGAAGAAAATAAATAGTAGAAAAATCCCCATACACATCATGATCAAGTTCAGTGGCAGCTTCAAACCACTCATTTCTATCCCTGCTGCTCTCTGCATTCAAAATTAGACTTTGAGCCAGGTGGTTGCTAGACATAGCAGACTACCTGATTTTACAAGTTCATTTGCAGGATTTTTGCAGGTACTCAAAACTAGAAGCTTGGATGTTTAATCTTCACATACTTGTTGGGGTTTTTGTTTTGTTTTGTTTTAAGAAGAAAAGTCTCTTACTCTGCTCATCTTTTCCAGTGAGAAAATTAACACTATGAAATAAAACTGTCTAATGGCTCTTCTCCCTTCACCATAGTATGATGACTTTGTTTTTACCCAGAACACTAAATTTTTCAGCAGTTAAATAATCTCACAGAGTCAGAATTTTGTTTTAAATTTTTTCACCTGTAGACACAGCTCAGAAATGAAATTTCCACAGTAATTCCCCAATACCTTTTATGTGCTGAGACAGCCTTTAAGTCTTAACCAGAGGCTGGTTGGTGAGGTTTAAGGGAAAAAAACCCCACACAAACATATTGCTGGTAAAACATAAATGTTTTTCAAGATAGACATATCTGCAGTAATAAAAGTGAGAGTTGCCCCATAAATCAAGTAAGATGAGTCACATGAATTCCTAGTATCATCATTAAACTGTACCCCAACCCCCTTCAAGTTGTTTTTGAATGAGCCCTCTAAAAATGCTGGAGGCCCTTGCCTTCACCTGTCTGGTTTGGCCTCTATCATTGCTCACGCTCTTGTCTCAGTGTCTGATTGCCTCCTGATGGCAGGGAACTGTCTTTTTGCAGTTGACCCAAAAGAGCTCAGTGTCTGTGAATCTCCCTTCTGGAGCTGTGGCTGACAGCTCATGGAACAACCAAACAGCTTGCTTAAAATAAGCTGTCGTTTGCTTTCACCCATAGGGATTTAAAAAGCTTTAGAGATAAAGGATTCAGACCTGTCTATGCCTGCACCTCTCAGCTCTGAGAGTCTTAAGAAGGCTCAGATGAGCCTGCCTGGAGTAAGTGAGCTACCAACAACCCTTTGGTACATGTCCCCCAAATATTGCTGTCCATCACCACTCTGACCCCACGGGCACAGGATCTGTCTGAAGCAGAGGGCTCCCTGCTAAGCTGCTGACATTGGTTTATTAAAGTAATTTTGATTTTTCAGCCCTGGCAGTACAAGTGCTCTGACTTTGCCGGAGCCTGGAGGTAGTCTTTTCTCAGGGAACAGCTCAGGAAATCTTTAATGACTTCCTGCCACATTTACAGTCGATAACATATCTCGAGGCATTGTGCTGACTTCCCGCCTGGTCCTGGCACGCCCCGTGGCTGCACAACATCATGAAATGCATGCACTGGTGAATGCTTCGGTAGCACCAACTGTTTATGCAATGATTGTTCCAAAAAAGGAGGTAACATATAGCATCCATGAATTATGAGCTAATAACTTACCTCATATATACACCCACACAGCACTTGTCCTACTCACGTCCTCCCACACTAACTGTTAGTGTCAGCAGAGAGCGATCCACTGTTACCTGTCTGGGATGACCAAAATGGTAGACCCTACAAAGATTTGGTGGGATTTATAAACTACAGACTGGGTAAAAATGTGCTGCACTGTACTTTGCTCAGAAACCTGTGTTTTCTACATAACACAAATAAGAAAAATCCCCTCGCTTTAATGACAGTCCACTCAAGAGTAGGTCCAGTCCTGGTTAAGAAGAGCATCCCAAAGATCTGTCTACTGTCAGAAGGGCTCCAAAGGAGTACCTTGTTACTGTGTACAGCAATTAGGCTTGCTTTCTTGCAGTACCATGGTGTTAACTAGCAAAAGGTGAGATGCAATTTTGATACCAGTCTCAGGAGAAGCGGTTTTAGCACAAGACGCCTGCCCCTTGCACGCTTTGCACAGCATCACAGAGCTGCAAGTTCCTGCTGTGGCAGCTCTCAGCCACGGGAGGGAACCTGGTCCCAGACATAAAGGCTGGACAAGGCTCTTTTCACAGGCTGGTATCCTTGGAACAGGGGTCAGCAGGACTTGCATGCTCTTGAAAGAGTTTCTTCCCCACTGCCAGGCACTTGATATAACTGCTGCCTCCTCTACAGGATTTGTGCTCGCCGAAAGAACATAAGCTCCTTGCAAAGTATCAGCAAGCAAAGCAATGGGCAAATGTCTCTGCTCTGCCCTGTGCTGTGGAAGAAGGGCAGAGAGGCACGTGATGTAGGGTGTCCCAGGGCTGGGAACAGCCAGAGTACCCTGTGATGCACTTGGAAGGCACACCAGTTTCCCCTGCAACAGGGCTTCCCAAATTGTGCCTTTCAGGGCACTGTTTACAATAAACAATTTATCATGCTTATTACAAGACCATGACCACTGGCCTTCTAGACCCTTTTAAACGGCAATATTTATAGTCACCCATCTTTTTTTCCACCAGAGGTTTGGTGGTGGAAGGTGTTGCCCAGGAGGCACTGGGAGCTGGCAAATCTCTCTTGTGCAGAGAGTTTGGGATGCTGCTCTGGGGCTGGCCTTTCCCTCTGCTCGCTGACATTGTCTCCCTTGCTGCAAAGACTGGGCTGCGTGCCGTTGGCTTAGGAAGGAAGGAGAGAAAACCTAAACTGATGTCACAGGGAAGTCGCCCTCCAGCAAAGCACGCAGATGCTAAATTCACACAGGATGACTGCTGCAGCAGAAACTGATGCCTGGCTCCACTCTGTGATAGGAGACAGCAAACCCACCAGGAACTTTGACTTTGGGTCTGTCAAAACCATGGCACAGACCATCCTCTTCTCATTACATATATTTTTCTAATCAGCTGGATAACATAATTAAAATAGACTCTTTTTTTTTTTAATGTGGTTATTGGTGTCTTTGCTGGATTGATTTACTGATTGTCATTAGGTCATTAGTGCCACCACAGAGAAGATCTTCTCTGCAATGACAGCAGTATAAACTGTCAGCAAATTCCTTTGCTTACTGGAAAACCTCATGGTCTGTTTCCGCATCAGGCACACTTGTTGTTATTTAACTTTCAGCAATAGGTGTTTTCGTACAGATACAGGCTGAGTAGGTTCAGACCTCATTTTTCTACTTCTTAAAACTCCTTGTGGAGATCCTGAGGGCTCAGCATGTCAGACCAAATCTGGCTCTGTGCAGCTCTCATGCAGCACAGCAACCACCTGGTGTAGGTATAGGTACTACCCTAGGAGGCAAGCAGGGCTGTAACTTAGAATCATAAAATGGTTCATTGGAAGGGACCTTAAAGATCATTCAGCCCAACCCCCCTGCCATGGGCAGGGACACCTCCCACTAGAGCAGGTTGCTCAAAGACCTGTCCAACCAGGCCTTGAACACTTCCATGGAGGGGAACAACCTGTTCCAGTACCTCACCACCCTCAGAGTGAAGATTTTCTTTCTAATATCCAGTCTAAATCTACCCTCTCGGGTTTAAAACAATTCCCCCTCGTTCTATCGCTAGCCAGGAGCCAACACCACCTTCAGAAGCAAGACAAATTTGGTAAGTGGTATTTTGTCACTCCAGAGCCACAGGTAGGTGAGATACTGGCTGTGCACCATCAAATTGTACTTGCCTCTGTGCACACCAGTGTCTTCTTATGGCTCACTGGAGACACATGACCTACTTAATCCTGTGCCAGGCACAAACCTGCCCATAGGACGACCTGTAGCCCTCTACACAGCTGAAATTCAGCCCATGGGTGGCTTTCAGGTGAGGCAGCAGCTCCTGCTGAGTTTCTCAAGCTGCAATACAGCAGCTGCCTCCCACCATGCAGGAGTAATCTGCTCCTGTGTGAAACAGCTGCTCCTGAAAGCTAGCTGAGAAAACAGTGGGCATCTAGGTCATAGAGCTGCAGGTCAGAGACATGGGCTGTTTTTCAGGATGGGGAAATAATAAACAAGGCATAGGAGAATGAATGAGTCCTGAGGAAAGAGAGCAGGCAAAAGAGAGAGGGAAAGGAGGAGGAGAAGGCACAGCAGAAAGGGAGGAAGTAAGCAGGAATCGGCTTAACCAAAAGACAATACTGCAACACGCAGAAATCCCAACAATGAGAGCACAGCCAGGGACTCAAAAGGAAACAATGTGAGCAACTAAATGAAGCAAAAGCAAGGTCAATTAGAGCTGACCTTGAAAACAAGAGCAAAGAGCCTGGCACCACCAGCCCCTTACTGACAGGCAGTTAAACTTCCTGGCTGATATTTTCAGAAGGGCAAGGGAGGGTAAGAAATCTGCTCCCTCAGCACGCTGACAGCAGCCAGGCACCTACCTGCTTT